ATATTTGTGATAAATGTTGCTTAGAAGTGACACTATTTCCATAATGAAAAGCATAAAAGATATGCAGATACCAACTTTAGTGTGCAAATATTAGGAATTCCTTTTTTCATATTTGTTTTTGCACTATTTTTTCCAAACCAATTTTGTGAATTTCAAATGCTAAAATTGTAAGACTGGCTTTTAAAAACATTCTATTCCATTTTATAATAAAAAATGGAAATTTTAAAAAATAAGACCAGAACATTCAAAAATAACCACATATATGGGGAAGTTAGGAAGTGAATGTATGTTCAGAGAAAGACCCAAGCTCAGAAAAGCAATGAAAAAAACCCCACAAACTAATTTTATACCTCAAATCAATCCTGGATATAGTAATAACCTACAACCATAAAATAAATAAATAGTAAACTGCCCTGCAAAACCCAGTAAATCCAAGGAGAGAAAAACACAATTTTTGAATTTATTATACTAAAATGTCTAACTTTCCATCACAATAAAAGTCACAATGCCTTAAAAAAAACCTGGAAATATAGCCCATTTAAAGGAAAACATTCAATAAAAACTGTTCTCATAAAGACTTGATGGAAAATCTACAAGATACAGACTTAAAAACAACTGTCTTAAAGATGGTCAAAAAAACGACAGGACAATGTGGAGATAGCCAACAGATGACAAATGAACAAAATGGAGATAAATACAGAGATTAAAAAAAAAAAAAAAACAACCAAAAAAGTAATTCTGGAGCTGAAAAGCACAATCAATAAATTGAAAAACCAATTAGAAAGATTTAATGGCAGATCTGAACAGGCAGCAAAGAGAGGAACCCAACTTGAAGATAGGGTAATGGGAATAATTGAGTTTGTGAAACAGAAACATCAGCGAGAACTGTAGGAACTAGTGAGACATTAGCAGACTGACCACTGTATGCACTGTAGGGGAGGAGGAGAGCAAGAGAGCCAGAAAATAGAGAAATAGTAGTTTAGCTAAGAGGTTTTGTTCAAGATACTAGAGATAAGATAACTCTAGAAAAGGTAAGAGTATCAGCTAGTAAAAGGAAAGGAAAGCCATAAAGTCCTGGAGGCTGAGTAAAGAAAGAAAGTGGAGGACGTGGTCAACTGATTTGTCAAGCAGGCCAAGTAAGATGAGCAATTAGGCAGACAGTATGTCAATATAGAGCACGCTTGCCCTTCATGTTGTAAGGCCCTGGTCCGGCCCCAGTTCTCATAATTAGAACTGACCAATAGATTCAGAAATGTGAAGTCACTCATGACCTTTGATGAAACAACGGGGCAAAAGTCCTAACTAAGGTATGTTTGCGAGAGAGAGTGAGAGGATAAGTTAGATGGGCTTTGAACTCTGGGCCCAGAGCTCCTTTGCTCAAGGCTACCTCTTGAGCTACAGCACCACTTCCAGCTTTTTTGTGATTAATTGCAGATGAAAGTCTCACGGAATTTCCTGCCCCAGCTCCCTTCAAACTGCTATCCTCAGATGTCAGCCTCCTGAGTAGGGAGGATTACAGGCGTGAGCCACTGTTGTCAGCTTTACTGATTTTTTTAAAAAGGGTTTTTAAAAAGGGCTTTGCTGAGTAAGAAAAAGAAATGGAGAAATAGCTGGAAGGAGTATGGATCAGGACAGATTTGTTTTAGTTTGCTTGTTGTTAAGATAATAGCATGTTTGTATAGTGAGAGAACTTCAATGTCAATGCCTTTAGGAGCAGGGGAAGGAATCTACTGTCCCAATGAAGATATTGCCCTATTTTGAGTGAAAGCCAGGGCAGATGGTCCACAGCAGTCAGGGAAACTGAGGTGCAGGTGAATTTGAAACTGAAGTGCAGGTAGAATGGCTGCATGTCCAGCTATGGTCAAAAGCATTGTGCAGCCACAGAACTGTAGGAGAGCTACAGTTACCAGGGTTAAGGTTTTGTTAGAGAATTTCTATCAGAAAGTGGGAGGAGAACAAGGGAGTTAGACACTGGCAATGGCAGATCACACTACTGACATGCTTCACATTTCTTCACTCCCATCTATACCTGCAGACCTTGCTGTAAGTCAAGTGCTCATTAACTCTATCCTGAATTGCTGGAGCTCTTCATTGCTAAGCTATTCTTACCAAACATAGAACACTCAGACTTTATGCTCATTCTTGTCTTTCCCATTCTCTTCCTAATTCTTTGCCTTAAATAACTAGACTTTCCCCCGTCACCATTGGACTCTGTCATTCCAAGAATTTGAACTGTATGAGCACAGAACATCCTTAGTTTTATAAAATGAAAATCATGTACTTGTCTTTCCTCCCAATTATCACTAAAATATGAGCTTTTAAACATTCTTAAGCCAGGCACTGGTGGCTCATGCCTGTAATCCTAGCAACTCTGGAGGCTGAGATCTGAGGTTCTCAGTTCAAAGCCAGCTGGGCAGCAAAGTCCATGAGACTCTGACCTCCAATTAACCACCAGAAAACTGGAAGTGGTACTGTGACTCAAAGTGGTAGAGCATTATCCTTCAAGCGACAAGACCGAAAAAAAAAAAAAAAAAAAAAAAAGCATACTTTTGCTAGCACCTAACACACTGCCTATATCAGAACAGACATTTGATAATTTGATTAAAAGGATACATGAAGAAAGAATATTTGGTTGCATTGGGACTTTTCTTAACTACATTCTTCTAACTATAAGCTATATAAGCCAAGAGGTTTTAGAGGATTTTGAATAGAACTTATCTTTTTATTATATATACGTTCACTTCTGTGAATATTTACACACATTAAACATGTGAACTTATGTAGGTTGTAAAATGCCATTCGGTTCTACTGAAACCTGAAGAGGATATTGTCACATCATGCAATTCATTTCTTTAATGTTTTTCTTTCACCATTTCCCTCGCATTTTAAAATGATGAGTCAGGACATTTCATTTGTATAAAATGTGCTTTGGAAGACATTCTTTTTTTTTTTCTTTTTTTTGCCGGTCGTGGACCTGAACTCTGGGCCTAGGCGCTGTCCCTCAGCTCTTCAGCTCAAGGCGAGCGCTCTACCGCTTGAGCCACAGAGCCACTTCCGGCTTTTTCTGTTTATGTGGTGCTGAAGAATCGAACCCAGGGCCTCATGCATGCAAGGCAAGCACTCTACCACTGAGCCACCTTCCCAGCCCTAAAATGTGCTTTGATAAATATTTACCTCCTTTATCTCAGGTCCCTTCTCCCCTTCCCACTGGTCCTGTTCCTCTTCCTAAACAGTCTCTGTTCTACTTTCACATCCTTTTGTTTTAAAAAATAAAACCTAGATTCTGTATATCAGAGAAAACATGCAATATTCATCTAATCTGGCTTATTTCACATGACATTCATTTATTTTGCAAATGACATAATTGCTTTATTCCTTATGGCTGAATTGTGTATGTATACCACATTTTCTTTATCCATTCATCTGTTGACAGGCTCCTCTTCTTCCTCTTTCTCCTTTACTAGGGGGTGTGAGTTTGCTATGTATACTTCCCACAGTAGATGGATGACAAGCACATGCCACCACACTCAACTGAGGAGAACTCTTGCAAACACTTTTGCCCAGGCTGTCCTGGAACAATGATCCTCTGGTGTCACCATTCTACACAGTTGGGAGGGCAGTAACACCATGCTCAACTATTGGTTGAAAAGGGGTGTCATGAACTTTTTGCCTCTCAGTCTTAAACTGTGATCCTTCCAATTTCCACCTCCTGATTAGCTAGGATTATGTAAATAAGCCACTGTGCCTGGACTTCCTTTACTTTTTAAAGCATGACTTCTATTAATTATTTGAATACATTGTAATAGCTACTTTGAAGTTTTAGGTTGGTAAGTCAAATACTGTCAGCTTGTGGAGAATCTGTAGCCCTTGACTAGATGCTTAAGAGAGAGACTCCTAACTTCTTGATCAAATATATGCTGTTCTGGGGGTAGAGGTAAAAAAAAAAATGGGTTATGACTCAAGCACCACAAAAAAAGACTTTTACTAAGGTTCAGTAGCTTCTCTTGGATAAATGTTGTTTTCATTTAGAGTCCTGAGGTGACTGTACAACCTTAGCACAGTTTCTCAAAACTGTAATTTTTAAAAATTGAATTCAGGACCTTATGTTGCTAGGCAGGTGCTCTCTAGCCCTTTTGGCTTTATTTTTTGAATAAGGTCTCAATTTTTTGCTCTGGCCATCTTGGACCATGTTCTTCCTATTTCAGCTTCCTGCACAGCTGAGATGACAACTGTACTGACATAATAGTTTTTATTGCTTGGGATAGAGTCATACAAACTGTTTTGGTCAGGCTGGCTTTGAACTGAGATCCTCCTTATCTCTACCTCTTTAGTATGAGTAGCTAGGAAAACAGATGTGAGTCACTGGCACCTAGTAAATGTATTGTTCTTTTTAAAAAATAGGTTTTAATGGTTTAATAATTAGTAGTTTAATATTTAAAAGTTTTTAAGGGGTCCTCATATTCCCATTCCAGAAGTAACCATTTCTACTCTATTCCTGAAGCATACAGGTTATTGGTAAACTAGTATTACTTTGTAAATAACTATGTTCATTACTGGTTTTCAACTTTTTATAAATGTTTTTATTTTAGGGAAAGATCTGAGTCTATGATAGCATATAAAATGATAAAATGGTGATCAGACACTGCAAATTGATTTCAAAATATTTACTTTTTAATTCAGCATTCTAAATAAAAATTATGTATGATTTGGTAGGACTTACACATGAATTGGACATCCAACTTCAAAATCTGTACTGACAGCAAATAGAGAATACTTACCTGCCAACACCTCCTGGTTAGAGCATAAATAACTGCAAGAACAACCCAATGATTCTACCTTACCCTTCAGTAAGAACACTGTGTAACCTGTGCCCAGCCTACAACACTTTATCTGAGAAATATGGCCTGGATTTCACAAGAGTTACTTAATGGAGACATCTCTAAAGTACCATTTAGAATACCTGAAACAAAAATATTATATATGTTAATTTTTAAGCTTACCTGATATAAATAATCTTCAAATACAAAATAATAATCATCATTACTTGCGGTCAACTTTACATCCTAAAATTAAAAGCAAAGAGTACTGAAAGGAATCTAAATGAATCTGCCTGCAGTTCTAAAGAATACATACAAAAAATAGAAACAATAATGCAATAAACTTACTACTCTGTAAGACTATGAAAACTTCTCAATTATATTTTAACACTGCCCACTGCTAGTTGATCACTATAGGTGACACATTAGTTGATTTCTAGTTCCTTTTCCTTTTTTTTTTCTTTTTTGGGTCCGGTCATGGGGCCTGAACTCTGGGCCTGGGCACTGTCCCTCAGCTCTTCAGCTCAAGGCTAGCACTCTACCACTTAAGCCACAGCGCCACTTCCGGCTTTTTTCTTTTTTGCTTATGTGGTGCTGAGGAATCGAACCCAGGGTCTCATGCATGCAAGGCAAGTGCTCTACCACTGTGCCACCTTCTCAGCCTTCCTTTTCCTTTTTAAAGGTTTCATTAATAATATTTATTTCATCTCCTTTAAATCTAATTCTTACATGTCCTAAAAGTAGAAAAGAAAAACGGCTACCATCAGAACACCCAGCAGCAAGCACAAAAAATCTGTCCTCAAATCAGCTCCAAGCTCACTGTTCACGTGTACATACTTGCTCTCCCTTCAAAATACCACCGATCTCCCTTGCCTTTGTGATTATTCCTTGTAAGTCATCGCTTAGCAGGACTAGTAGCCTTGACTTCCAATTATGAACTCACATTTTAAGAGATTGTTCCTTGACTTTTCCTGGATAGAATTTCAGTTTCTTCATATTTAATTCTATCCCTACTTTCTAATCAGAACAACCTTAAAACTCTCTTCTAACCCTGTAAGACTGTAGTCAATTTGAGCCCAAATGTCTTTTAAAAAAATACAGTTAGCACAAGCACAGTGCCTCAAACCTAATGAGCATCCTATGCATGGCCAATGAACGAACAATAAAAATAACATTTTAACAGAAATTAATTGTGGTTTCTTGTAATGTAACGTATCACTGTATAGGTACTATTCTCCAATAATAAACAAACAACACATCTGCATTATCCCCAGATGTCTCTCAACACCTTTTACAGTGAGTTAAACCTGCTACTGATGTGCCTCAGTGTAAAGAATATGCACAATCCAAGAGATGTAACTAAGAGTTGAGATCCAGTTCCACTACACCTAGCTGTGCAACTTTGGTTAGGAATTCCAAGCCTCAGTCTCTGATATGGTTTGGACAAGTGACCCCTAAAGGCCCAACTCACAGTTCTGTGGGAGGTAAGAGAGCCTTTAGGAGGTGAAACTGGGTGAGAGGAAGCCAAGTTGTTGGTGATGAGCCCTGGAAGGGAATGCCGAGAACCTGACTACCCCTCCCCCTCTGCTTTCTGGACAAATAGACTTGCTCCACCACTTCTGCCTTGCTCGGTTGTTTGCCTGGCTATATGTTAAAAATCAATAAAGCCAACTGATCATGAACTGAAACCGCCATAAGCCAAAATGAACCTTTCCTCTTTCACAAATGATTATCTCAGGTTTTTGTCACAGTAAAAGAAAGAAGACTTACATAGTATTCATATTATAAATAAGTATATTATTACCTACTTTAGAAATTATAGGAAGCCAGTCAGGCACAGGTGGCTCACGCCTGTAATCTTAACTACTCAAGAGCCTGAGATCTGAGAATTACAGTTCAAAGCCAGCCAGGGCAGAAAAGTCTATGATCTCCTATTTCCAATTAACCATTCAAAAACTGGAAATGGAACAAAATGAACAAAAGAGCCCAGGGACAGCGCCCAGGCCAAGTTCAAACCCTACAATTGACAAAAAAAAAAAAAAAAGTATGGGTACATGCTTAGGATAGCATCAGATGCTGAGTAACTATTGAGAACACTATTTCAAAAATTAACCTAAGGGGCTGGGAGGGTGGCTCAGTGGTAGAGCGCTTGCCTTGCATGCCTGAAGCCCTGGGTTCAATTCCTCAGCACCACATAAGCAAAAAGAAAAAAGCCGGAAGTGGTGCTGTGGCTCAAGTGGTAGAGTGCTAGCCTTGAGCTGAAGAGCTGAGGGACAGCGCCCAGGCCCAGAGTTCAGGCCCCATGACCGGACCCAAAAAAAAAAAAAAAAAAAAAAAAATTTTTAACCTAAATTCCTTTTACCCACAGTGGTCTTCTCCTGTTTATTTTTATGGATCTTCAACTTTACTTATATGAAAAAATTCCAGATCTAAAGGATACCACACTTTTAGATCCACTGTATAATAAATACAATAAATTCTGATGCACTGATTGGGAAGAAGTAACAAAAAAAAAAATCCAAAGAAAAGAGCACAGTATTTATTCTCAAGAACTCTCCATTTTAATGATATTAATAGAAAAAAAAACCCACAGTTCCACTTACCTTATAAATTAGACTGTCCACCAAAAGGTCATGTTGTATCACATTGGTCTTAAGCTGCTCATAATATAAGACATCCTAAATTTAAAAGTAAAATAATTTAAACAAATTAAAGGTCAGTTACATTTATAAGAGCAGCCTTAAACTTGAATTAAAACAAATTATTAATGGTAGTATTACTAAGAGAGTATGAAGTCTACTCACTAATACAACTCATGCCTGAATAACAGATTTTCAATAAATATGTCTCTTACTATCACTCAGGTATCTGGTAAGTACTTACCAATACTAAGTTGATTAAGAGACAGGATTTGTTAATCTAAATCTTGAACAGTGAGTTGGCAGGTTACCAACAATACAATTTTCTACAAGAGATGATACATTCACCAAAAAAAAAAAAAGTAAACCAAATCTATTTTATAAATGGTTCTCTCTAAATTGGTACCCAAAAGATCAGCTATATCATTTAAATTTCTAAAATTTAATTTAAATCTCTAAAATTTTTATTGATATAAACCATATGTTTTATTCCTTTTTTTGTTGGTTGTAGGGCCTGAACTCTGGGCCTGGGCCCTGTCTCTCAGCTCTTCAGCTCAAAGCTAGTGCTCTACCACTTGAGCCACAGCGCCACTTCCTGCTTTGTTTGCTTATGTGGTGCTTAGGAATCGAACCCAGGGCCTCATGCATGCAAGGTAAGCATTCTACCACTGAGCTACCTTCACAGCCCCAAGACTGAGTGATTTTTGATAGTTCTGCTCATAGAGGGAGATCTAAAACTCCTCTCTCTCTCTCTCTTACACACTTACACATATGCATGTACGCAGATGTATGCACACACACAGATACACATGTATACTACTCCAGGCAGAATCAACTTCTTAGGTCATTTTTATTATATCCTTTATCTATCAGTTGGTGATTTCCTTTCATATTAATTAAATTTCCAAAAATGTTCTTATACTTAGAAAAATAATATTCTCATGATAATATTCTAATAATATTAGAATCATGGAAGAGTGTATAGCTGAATGGTAACTGTAGGAATGAAGACTTCATTTATTTCTTTATTTCTTTCCTTCTTATTATAAGATTTTAATTCTATCTTACATTTTTATTTATCTAAATTATCAGACTTACTTTCAAACTTTTATTTATTGCTTTATCACAAATATTTAATTAAGTGTGCCAATTACATTTGTTAAATTTTGTCACAGAACCTTAAATTAAAATGATTTTGAAAATACAAAGGAGGGACTGAACGACTACTAAAGAAAAGTTTTTCTGTGTAAAAGTCATGACTAGCTCAAGTGTGCCCCACGCTTTTCTTCTTACCTCTGGCTGACTGGAGACATTGAGAATGAGAGCCCACAGTTCCGCTCTCAGTGCTGTGGGGCTCCCTTGCCTGATGTACTGTTGAGCAGCGGCACTATCTTGCTCCACTAGAACTGTGGAAGGATAATCAGATCTTATTAGAAATTTCACAACCTAGGAAAACCATTGAACTCTTCCATTGTAAGTCTTTGGGGAAGCCAACATTTGTTCTGTATATCCTACCCTTTTCCTCTCTGGATTTTGATAGAGCTCCATCTCAGCTTAGAGCTGTTAGCCTTAAACCTGGATTTATCACCTGGGTTCAGGGGCTTAAAACTAAGGCCTTATACATGATAAGCCACAACATCTACCACCGAGCCCTAACCCCAGTCCTGGATAAAAGCTTTTTAATGTATGAACCTTGATACCCCTTTGCTTAAACTATAGTTCTATGAATCTGAAACCACGTATAGACAATTTTTATATTCAATAAAGTCATATATATCTATAATACCCTTTAACTTCTTTTATATAATCTATTGTTGCAAATGTTCTAATATTTGGAAGTAATAGTACTATACTACTTATAAATAAGAATCATTATATTCTATTGTATAATACATAGTTATATATATCCTAGTATGTGAAATCTAATATGTAATATAGACATTTCTCTTGTCTGCAAAATCAAAATAAAGCTCTGATACGCTTATTTTTTATGGTACTGGGGTTTGAACTTAGGCCTTTGCACTTGGTAGGCAGGAGCTTTACAGCTTCAGCCATGTCTCTATCCCATTTTATTTTGGTTATTTTTGATGAAGGATCTCTCTTTTTGCCTGCACTGGCATGGACCCCAATCCTCCTGTTTATTCTTTTCTTTTTAAAAAATATTTTCCTTCTGTTTATTCTTTCCACCATAGCTGTGATGACAAGTATATACCACCACACCCACTTTTTTCTACTCAGATAGGGTCTCACAGAATTTTTTCTTTTTCTTTTGTCGATTGTCCACGGTGGGGTTTGAAGTCTGGGCCTGGACGCTGTCCCTGAGCTCTTTAGCTCAAGGCTAGCACTCTACCACTTGAGTCACAGTGCCACTTCTGGCTTTCTAGTGGTTAACTGGAGATAAGAGTCTCTTGGACTTCCCTGCCTGGGCTGGCTTTGAACTGTGATCCTCAGATCTCAGCCTCCTGAGTAGCTAGGATTACAGATGTAAGCCACTGACGCCCAGTGCCAATTGCAAACTTTTTTCTAAGATGGCCTGCAATTGTGATCCTCCCCATCTCAGCCTCTCACACAGTTAAGATGATAGCTGTGGTCTCAGGTGTTGGATGACATGGGATCTTTTGAACTTTTTGCCAGGGCTGACCCTGAACCAGTATACTCCTGATCTTAATTTCCTAGGTCTCATAAACTTTTAGTAAATACCCATATCAAAAAATCATCTTTTTGTATTCATTTCCAGCTTTCTTTAATGAAAACATTAACTATTTATTGTCTAGAAAGGCACACAAAATAGAACAGAAAAATAAATAAAACATGTTAGACACTGATTGCTGATGTTTGTGAAGCAGTATTTTTTTATATTTCCTCCTAAAAGGGGAAAAATTTCACTAAATGAAAATTAAATGAACAATAGAAATAAAAGGGCCATACAAAAGATAGGGATGAAACATATTTTAATTTGTAATGATGTTCAATGGGAGTCAAATCACACACATGAAGCCTTTTAAGCAAATGATTTTTAAAAAATTAGACTAGGGTATTTGGTACAAGACAGTAAAATCTGTCACAGAAGGTCCACTCTGACACAAAGCCTGGTCTGTACAACACAGCTGAAAGATAAAGTAGGAAATAAAAACAAGGAAAAGCATCTTTCGAAGATGGGGGATATTCCTCAGGACAGTGTCTTGGTGAGGGCCCTGCGCAGTCAGCGGGGACTTCAAATCACAGCCTCTCCTGATACAGAGCACAGTCTCACTGACACCAATGAGAGGTGTGCAGGGGTACACAGAAAAAGCTGCGTCTTGGATTCTAAATGAAATGCCACCCCTCCCCTCAATGTTTTTGTCTAGCCCCGTTAAAGAACACATCTGAATTTGGTCTCTTGAGCCAGCAAGTATATTTCTTCATCTGACACTTACTGATAAGGCTACTGGGTTTTCCTTCCAACTAGAGATTCCCATTCAATTATCCATATAGTTTAATATTACTCCTCTTTAGGTTTTTAATTTTTCAGGAATAAATTTCAGTTGAGGATATTTTATGGAGACATTCACCTAGAATAGTCTCATCTTTCATAAACTGTAACAATTATGACTGAAGGGTTGGGAATTTAGCTCAGTAGAAGAACACTTGTCTGGTAAGTATAAGGCCTTGAGGTTCAATCCTCAGCTCTGAAAAAAAAAAAAGACCCTAAAATATGATTGAATGCTTACCTTTCTGCCCAATACGCACATGCTCATTTTCAAAAAGTTCTAAAAAGGATAAAAGAAAATAAAATTATTAGACATATTACTATATTATATATTATATTAGATATATTATTAGCAGAATAAAGTTGCATTTTTGTTTCCTGGCACTAACACTTTTATTTGTTTTTAAAACTAGGTGGCATTATAGAAAACTACAAGAATTTTTCTTTCTTTTTGAGATAGGATTTGCTATGTAGCCAGACTGGCCTCAAACTTATGATCCTCCTGCCTTGGCCTCTGACATGTTAAGATTGCAAGTATATGCTACCACACCAAGTTCTGAAAACTACACAAGCATTATTCTGTATTTAGAAAGAGAGTTTCTTGATTGCTTAAAGTAAGTTCATATGTTAAATTGCAAAAAATAATGAATTAATGTTGTCTTTGTTAAAAAGAGTATCTTCTCATATCACAAAGTAAACGGGACTCAAGAAACAAAGGACCTCTACTTAATTTGTCCTATCATTTCTAAATGACTCCATGTTCTTGACCACATATATAGTATATGTATGTATGTGCAAATCTGAGGGAAGCTAGGAGGAGGGAATAGAATCAGGGAAAGGGGAAAAAGTACAACAGAGGGCCCATCAGCTGCACTGGACACTGATGAAAATGAACTAATTAACTCAAGGGCAGTGATGGGAGAGTGGGAAGGAGAGGGAAAGAAGGAACAGCTTATAGTAAGCAAAAGGAAAGAAATGTACATATCACCCGATGTAGAAGAAATAGTTGGATTGTCAAAGCTTATAGAATTCACAAACTTTGTGGGCTGGGAAGGTGGCTCAGTGGTAAAGCGCTTGCCTTGCATGCATGAGGCCCTGGGTTGGATTCCTCAGCACCACATAAGCAAAAAAAAAAAAGCCAGAAGTGGCACTGTGGCTCAAGTGGTAGAGTGCTAGCCTTGAGCTGAAGAGCTGAGGGACAGCGCCCAGGCCCAGAGTTCAGGCCCCATGACCAGACCCCCCCCCCCAAAAAAAAAAAGAATTCACAAACTTTATAGACTATGACAATTTGCCTTGTGAAGACTGTTAAATGTGTTTGTGACTTTAACTAAATTATCACTATCCCACAATACTATGAAATTTATAAAGTTTATGTAATCACTTAATCTCAATAAAAATTATTTAAGAAATAAAAAGAGTGGGCTGGGAAGGTGGCTCAGTGGTAGAGTGCTTGACTTGCCTGCATAAGGCCCTGGGTTTGCTTCTTCAGCACCACATAAGCAGAAAAAGCTGGAAGTGGTGTTGTGGCTCAGGTGGCAGAGTGCTAGCCTGGAGCTGAAAAGCTGAGGGACAACACCCAGGCCCTGAGTTCAGGCCCACGACTGATGACAACAACAACAAAAAAAAAAAAAAAGAAGAAGGGGAAAAAAAAGTTTCTTCTTGAAACATAAAAATATTTCTGTACATTTCATCTTTGACTTTCAAAAAAGCCTGCTGACAATTTCACTTATAATGTCTTACTTCCACTCTAATCTGCTACTATGTACTTGTAATAACAGTATATCTTAAATAGGTAAAATCCTACCATAAAAATGCCAATGAAGACTTTTATGGAAGGATTACTTTAAGCATTAATCATAATGAAAAAAAGACTCAGAAACTAAACTTTATCAAAATAACATGTTCTTCAAAAACCATCATTAAAGGGGGGGGGGGGAAGGAGAAGGATTGGGATTGGGGGGGAGGGGGGAGGCTGGGAAGGGATGTGAAGGATAAACAAAGGAGGAGGCTGCAATGCTTGGTAAGAAATGTACGCATTATCCTGCCCATGTAACTGTAACTCCTCTGTACAGTATGTTCACAAATAAAATTAAATTAAATTTAAAAAAAAAAAAAACCATCATTAAAGAAGTGTATATGTAAGATGCAGGGCACCAACATCAAATACAGTGAAAACAGGAGTTATACCGTGGGGGAGGAGCATACAAAGAAACAAAAAAAATCACATGGTACAGGTTGACCCATTGTAGGAAATGTACTCATTATCTTGCTCATGTAACTGTAACCCCTCTGCACAGTATTTTTACAATAAAAAAACATTTTTTAAAAAAGAAAAACAAACTTTACAATTTAGGTGGAGGGGTAAGGAGAGTGTAGTTGTGGAGGTGGGAAGGTAGGGGAAAAATAAAGGAGGGGCAACAATGCTTGATAGGAAATGTACTCATTACCTTGCTCATGTAACTGTAACCCCTCTGTACAGTATTTTTACAATAAAAAACATATTAAAGTAAAAAAAATCTTAAAAAAACATCATTAAGGGGGAAGAGGTACAGGCCTTGATGTCACATGCTAGTAATTAATGAGGAAGACAATTAACAAGGAGAATGAGGAGCCCAAGACCAGCCTGAGGGAGGGAGGGGGAAAAGGGGAAGAGGTAAATCATAGATTGGAAGCACAAACTTGCAATATGTATATCTGGCAAAGGACTCAGAGTACATAAAGAAAAAGACAGATAATTGTCAGATACAAATAGGCCAAAGACTTGAATTCACTCTTTACAAAAATGGTGATGAAAGAAACAGTAAGCATATAAAAGACTACTTGATGGGGCTGTGAAGGTGGCTCGGTGGTAGAGCGCTTGCCTTGCATGCTCGAGGCCCTGGGTTCGATTCCTCAGCACCACATAAGCAAGAAGAAAAAAGCCGGAAGTGGCGCTGTGGCTCAAGCGCTAGCCTTGAGCTGAAGAGCTGAGGGACAGCGCCCAGGCCCAGAGTTCAGGCCCCACAACTGGACTCAAAAAAACAACAACAACAACAACAAAAGACTACTTGACTACATTGGTTATCAGAAAAATACAACTAGAACCATTATGAAATACACATTCACCACAATGGAGAAAATAAAAATACTGATACTTCTCAGCACAACACAAAATAGTGAGCAGATGAGCTTCTCATACAAAACTGGTTGAAGCGTAAACTGATGTAGTAACTTTGGAAAACTGGCCTATCTACTAACACTGAACATATGTATATAATATGATAATTAGCAATGTACTCTCAAGCACATGCCCTAATGCGTACACAGATGTACAAAGTGACGTGTGAAAGAATACTCATAGAACACTATTGATAAAAATCAAACAATGGTAACAACACAAATAGTCCACATACAGAGTAGACTATATATAATACAGCAATAAAAATTAGAAGTGTATAATTCTACACAACAGATATGAGTTTTACAAATATTAAACAAAGAAACAAGATACAGAGTATATTCACTGATGTGTATTCTCCTAACTGGTGTACTGATAAGCATGTACGTTACATGTCAATAAAAGTTATTTTAAAATTAGAACAAGATAGTGCAACACACTGTGTATTTGAAGAGTGGTATGGGCCAGCCCTTCCCAAATCTGATTTGACAAGATCTCTTTTGGAGAAAGCATGAAACAGGTGCTTTCCAGAACATACTTCAGCAAATGCTCCATGAAAACAGCTTTCTCCTTTTAGAAATAACAAGTGATATATTTAAAAAATGACTAATTAGCAAAACTCTCAACTAATAGGATTCATTATTACATACAATCAGCAATAATCGCACAAATGTAACCCTATTAACACTTATAAGTGGTCTCTGTAGCGTGTATGTGTGAGAGGGTGTTTATAATACATGAAAACTTGTGAATTTGTAGAAATAATGGGTAAGTCTAATTTTTAAAACCTTGTTAAATATGATGTAATAGGACAGACTTTTCTTGAAAGCTGATAAGCTACTGTGAGAAATGCTCTTTGAATTTAATAGATGAACAGTGGGAACTGGCTACTATTACTGTTACAGTAATAGGTTTTAACGATGAACAAAAAGAACATGGTTCTGTAGGTTACAATCTTCGATATAAAACTTGCCTCTAGTCAATGTAAGTATTCACACTTTCAGACATTAACATTACCTTTCCAATTTAAGCAAAGTCATACACATAGATTAAAACATAGTGACTGCTAGATAAATGTAATTATGATGGATTCCATTCTTCTTTTGAAGTAATACTGTTGCCTAGCAATTCTCAAGTCTAGCAGAAATCCAAGTACTGTTCATTTTTGGATGAACACTAATTTAAACTCAATTTTTAGTAGTCCAGGTTTGAGAGGAAGGGAGAGTAAAACGAATGCATCAATGAAGAGATTACCAATCATCTCCAGGTAGGCTCAGGTGCTCTTTCCTCTGCTCTCACTGCCTTTTCACTCATTAACAGCAAGTAGCACACTGAATCTTCACTGCCATGACCACAGAATCTTCTCTAAGAGTAGAGGGTATGACTCCTATCTAGCTCTTCACTGGGCCTTAGCAATATCTTAACATGTATCTATTATAATATGAGCAAATCAAAGAAGGAAAAACTTTCCAAAAGTAGAGCTATTATGAGGTTCAGAATAATGTTAAATAATTCTTAAAAATCATTTCAAAAATGAAAAGCATGATACAATATTTTATTACTATTTTCTTTCCTTTTTTATACTCTGCTGTCATTGGTTATGAAGAAAGCATAAGATACCTTTTTCTATCAGATTTTTTTTTTTAAATACAGGCATTGGGGCTTGAACTCAGGGTTTGGGCACTGTCCCTTAGCTTTTTCACTCAAGTCTGGTGCTTCACCAGTTGAGCCACAGCTCTACTTCTGGCTTTTTGATGGCTAATTGGAGATAAGAGTATATCACAGACTTTCCTGCTTGGACTGGCAGATCTCAGCCTCCTGATGGGCTAGAATTACAGGCATGAGCCACCAGTGCCCAGCTTGATTTCTTCTTATGAAACAAAGAAAGGCTAACAAGTGGCAGAGGGAGTCAGCACACTGTGGCATACTTTAGTGATACTTAGTTTTGAATCCTGGACCTACCACTTACTAATATTTTGAACTTAAGCAAGTTACTTAACACCCTACTTCTTCAACTCTAAAGAGGCAGTACAATGCCTAGCTTGCATCATGTAAGAAAATTAAATGCAATGCTACTATCCACCACCCAAATAAAAAAGAGTATAGGGCATACCCAGCATTAGTGAGGAGGCACTACATCTGTGACTCTCATGCATCGCAGAGAGTCTAGGTGGACATTGGCATTCCCCTCCCGCAGCTGTCTACTAACCTGAACACATGCACTCTAGACAGAGCGCTGTGTTCCCAGCCTATGCACAACAGAAGACACATGCTAGGATGTTTATAGTGGAATTATTTGTAGTGTCCTCAAGTTTGACATTTTCCAAATTCTCCTCAACAGTACAATGAGGAAATAAATGTGTGGGATGAACTCACATGCAAGAAAGTGATTAAATATTTATTCCACTAAAGCTGAATCTCAAAAATAAAATGGCAAACAAACCAAGTCAATCATCAAATAGAGACAGTGCATACTTCCATTCATATGAAATTCAAGAATAGTAAACTAATTTATGCTGCCAGAAATAAGAATAGTGGATTATCTTGGAAATGGGGGATACAGATTGGTAAGAAGGGGAGCTCTTATTTGTGCTTTGAGGTATATTTTAGGAGGCATGTTCAATTTGTAAAAATTTATGAGCTGTGAGTTCTTACAATATGTACCTCCCTATATGCACTGTATATTAATAAAGGATTGAGGTTTTGGGCAATACTGAGGTGTGACCTCAGAGCCTCTTCTTTGTGAGGTTAGTATACTACTACTTAAGTATGCCTCCAGGCCTTATTGAGGTTTTTTAATTTATTTTTATTTTTTTATTTTTTTTTGCCTTATTGGTTTTTAGCTATTTTTCAGATAGGATTTCAGTTTTTTCTTTGCCAATCTAGTTTTAATAAATGGTAATACTATATATCCTTAAGGGTACTACCAGGTTAAATGAGATGATATACATGTAACACACACAGGATGTATTTGATGACCACTCGTTATTTATTATTATTTAGCAATAACAGCAACTATTATATAATGTTACTATCATAATAGTAATAATAAGTAGTCAACTTCTTTATCTTACTAAGGAGGAAGCAAATCCAAACATGTGTGTGACTTGTCCAATTATAGGATTTTTTTCTAGGCCTCTTACATTTTCAGTCAATTTTACTTCCATCTTAGCATTACTAAAGCCTTGCTGATCTTTTCTGAAAAGTGCAATGTTATTTAGGTACCAAAGAGAAATTAGTGAACTTGAATACATGATTACAGATACTATTTTAAAAGCCTGAGTCCAATATGCCAGCTTTCACTTAACTTGGTAACATAAAAATGCCAGGAAAGGGAAATATGAATACCACTAATGAAGATTCTTCCAAAAAGACAAACTTACTTGCATGTCTAATAACTAAAAATCATTTTAAACACCTTCAAAAATTTTTGGATCCTGTTCTATAATTAATAGTAGCTAATAAGAGACAAAAGCAACCTAATTTTCAGGTATAAAATATCCATGAGATTAGTAACAAGAATATTCCCTTAAACTCACTGTCAGTTATCACTTACATTAATTATATGTCATGCAGGAGAAATACTAACCAGGAGGCACTTGTGTAGAATCATCGATGCCCAGCTGTCCTGTAGTTAAGCCAAGTTCTACAAAACATTCTTTCTGAAAATAATATATGAAGAATTAATACACACCACAGGCTTTGCTTCATAGTAAACAATTACTACTTTCACTTAGAAAATCAGCTTTAACAAAATCACACTGTAAACGGCACTTTTGTTTCATTCAAATGCCTAAAAAAATAAAGGATAGCACTGGACAGTTAAATAAATACATCAGTAAAAATTAAGAAGCAGAATAACTATAATTCTGTTCACCACAGGTGTTATTGAACAACATTCAATGGTTTCATGTAAAGTACACATGAATAGAAAAGATGCAAACAGGGTACAGTATCAACCAATGAGCAAAAGTATCAGATCAAGAGTTCGAATCCCAGTCTCAGGCAAAAAAAAAAAAAAAAAAAAAGATATAAACACTTAGGAGTGTGTGTGTGTGTGTGTGTGTGTGTGTGTACACACACACACATATATATATGAAAAGCAATTTGCATATATTTCTCCTTTAGTAAAATTTCCTTTCCCTAATTTTTACTATCTAACAGACAGATAGATAAATAGACAGATGTAGATATATAGATTATTTTTTCTTTTTTGTCAGTGCTGGGGCTTGAACTCAGTGCCTACACTATTCCCTGAGCTTTTTCTCAAGGCTAGTGCTCTATCACTTGAGCCATGGCTCTGCTTTTGGTTTTTTGGTAATTTACTGGGGATAAAGACACATAGAAGCCAGGCGCTGGTTGCTCATGCCTATAATGCTAGCTACTCAGGAGACTGAGATCTAAGATTGTGATTCAAAGCCAGCCCAGGCAAGAAACTCTGTGAGACTCTTATCTCCAATAAACCACTAGAAAACTGGAAGTGGTGCTGTGGCTCAAGTGGTAGAGTGCTCTACTGGATTTAACATAGTACCTGATATGGCAGAGGGGCTCTTACATACTGAACCACACTAGTGAGCCACAGTGCTAACCTGCCAACTCCACACTACTGACTTGGTTACAAGGTCACTTCAAAGTTCATAAATCTTAGTTTTAAGAAATCTCCTTTCTTTCTTTTTCTTCTTTTTGTGCTGGTACTAGGGCTTGAACTCTAGACATTGCACTCTAACTCAGCTTTTTTGCGCATGACCAGTGGTTAGAGCACTTGCCCACATACATGGAGCCCTGGGTTTGACCACCATGCCATAGCTGCCTTGTAAGGGAAGACCTGGAAGGTACACCCATGAGTACAACAATAAATGGTTCCTATTGTATACTTGACTTCCCTGTGCTTGTTGTTACTGCCCTCTGTGTGTGCATGAGTGTATATGCACACGTGCATGTCTACATGCCTGTGTGTGTGTGTGTGTGTGTGTGTGTTGTGGGAGCTGGACGGATCATCTGTATGGCTGGAAGGATTCTCGATGATGATCTACCTGAAACACTATGTTTCTCAAAGACCTAAGTATACCTCCTGCCAAATGCTTTCAGCTAGAATGTAATAAAACAGAGCACAAAAAAGGTAGACTCTAAACCAGAAGATTTAATTGATTACTGGTACACCTTTCATCCATACTGCTCATCTTCCAGAGGCATTTAGGTTTGACCTTTTTCCCCCCCCTGTGTAATTCATTTATCATGAGCCTTAATACATTAAAGTTACTCGTTTCCTACTTTGACCAGATAGCATTTTGTGTTCCTTATTGTTTTGGGGTAATTAACAAAAGAAGGAGAAATGATAATATCCTAAATCCATCACCAAGAATGTTCCTATATTTTATTTCAAAAGGAATTCCCTCACTGAAACGTAACAATCTCCAGAGCAAAGACAGTCTCCAGTTGCTCCTTCAGTGGCTGACCATGGTAAGGGTTTCATAAAGGCTGTCTAACTTACATAAAATATGCTAGCTACCTGTACATTTTATAAAACTCACAATTTCTTTCAATCATTTTGTAGCCATATACCAAGCACCTGAATCCCAAAAAGCTGCCCTATAAATCTATAAATCTATGCTGTTGATTAAAATAAGGAGTAAGTATTTACACATCAATGTATGCTCAATTTTAGTAAGTAACTCACTTTCTCTATAAATATATTTGCAAAGCCAGGTGCCAGAGGCTCATGCTTGTAATCCTAGCTACTCAGGAGGCTGAGATCTAAGAATCACAGTTCAAAGCCAGCCTGGGTAGGAACATCCGTGAGACTCTTATCTCCAATAAACCACCAGAAAACTGCAAGTGGAGCTGTGGCTCAAGTGGTAGAATGCTAGCCTTGAGCTGAAGAGCTGAGGGATAGTGCTCAGGCCCAGAGTTCAAGCCCCACAACAACAATATATAAATATATGTATTTGCAATAAGAAGAAATGTTACTTTATTAATTTGTTTAATGAATATACTATATTATTTTAGCTACATGTTATATAAAACATTTTTCCAATGGCTATCTTCTAAAATATGCTAATTTATCTTTAAATGTCTATACTTACCAACTCTGGAATGTCTTTTACTTTCAGAGGAACTTGGATTAAACCCAAATGAGTCCTGAAACCAAGAGAATCACCATTTTCATAATTTGGGTTGCGAAGATTAATTAAAACCTTTAAAACAAACCCAACAGAATTGGTTAGTTTCTTCGTAGTATGTTTATACTTGTCAAATAGTGATATTCTTGGTAAAGCACCACAAGATTAAAAGCTATTTGGAGTCATGCATGTATTTCAATTATATACTACAATAGTGTAAAATTGTACTGAAATATCAAAAACCATGGATATGCTTTTAACTAATATGGTTTTAATAGTGTAATTAATTATCTACCACATGAAACTCTCTATAAAGTTAAGAATTTAATTAGACAAGGTGTTTTTTTTGTTTCCTTATGTATGTATTTATTTATTTATTTTTATTGTGAGAATACCGTACAGAGGGGTTACAATTACATGGGCAAGATAAGAAGCACATTTCTTATCAAGCATTGTTGCCTCCTTGTTGTTTCCCCTTCCCATCCTTTCCCATACTCCTCCCCTCCCCCTACTCGATCCTCTCCCAACCCCCACCGAAGTTGTTAAGTTCGTTTTTCGACATAACGACTTGTACATCTCATTGTTGCAATAGGTCCACCTGTATCCCTAGTTAAATGATTTGATTTTTCCCCTTCCCCTCCACAAATTATATCATCAACAAATACAGTGAAAGTATGGGTTATACTGTGGGGAGGGACATACAAAGCAAAATAGAAATCATCTTATAAATATGATAGAAACAATTGCATGAAAGGAAAAAGAAAACAAAAAAACATTTGAATACTTATCTTGGGGTTCATTCTCCTAACATCAACTTATCTGACCTTTTCTGCTTGACCAGACATATACTAGTTTAGACAAGGTTTTTTTGATGGTTGAAAGAAAATCTGCTTTATTATAATACTGTACCAAGGATAATGTCATAAAAAATAATCACTGACTGTTGTATACTGTGGTCGGATACAAATTAGTGCAACCACAGTAGAAATCAGCATGAAATGGTATCATATGATCCTGCTGTACTAGTTCTCAGGCATATATTCAAAGGAATGTAAATTAAAGGAATGTAAAAAGAAAATACCGGCACACCCACGTTTGTGACATTTATTTATAATAGACAAGATACAGAACGAATTTGGTGCCCAACAAGTGATGACTGAATAAAGTGTAGCACACATATATAATGGAATATTGTTCATCAACATAGAAGAATGAAATCGTTATTTTCAGAAAAATGGATGTAACTGAGTATTACATTAAGTAAAATAAGCCAAGCTGAGACAGACAAATATGGCATGGTTTCATTCAATGTGGGATCTATACCCTTCCCCCCAAAATAATATATGTCATAATATACAAAAGGGGAACTGTTTAAGAGGGGGTTATCAGTGGGAGGAGACAGAAAGGAAAAGGTGGCAGAAGCTGAGCATTATATAAGTATGGTATAAAAATGCCACAATGAAACTAATCATTGAAAGGAAATGCTTAATTGTAATACTTTCCAGGAAAAATTTTAGAACCAATACTTATCACTTTCAAAAACAAAAATTTGGTAAGTTTCAAGAAAGATGAAGGAATAACATTGTGAGATACCTATTTCCTCTAAACAAAACTCACAAGAAATGAGAGCGAAAGAGATGGAGAGACCGAAAGAGTGAAATGTCAGAAGCAGAACTAATAAAAAAACACGTATTTTTTCGGCAGATAAAAATCATCTTAATATTTATGTACCTTTCAATGTAGAACTGTTCTATAAGTTTGGATATGGGAGATGATTCAGGATTGAATATTTGCAAAGACAGGAAGAAAAATATGAGTGAAGTTTTGGCTTCTTAGACCAATGTCTCTCATGTATGTCGATATTTTATAACTCCAGAACAAAGCACATTCTACATTACTGAGAAAGGACCATGGGAACTCTGCTGGAAATGTGGATCTCTTTGCATATACTCTTGCTGAAAGCTTACATGGTAACCCTGAAATCTTCTGAGTGTTGTCAATGGTCTACCTATACAATTGTTGCATCAATGAACAAAACAGAATGAAAAGCTTGCCTCATTGTATCTCTTCCATTGTAATGGCAGACCGCAGGCAATAAAAAAAGATTTAGAAACAGTATGCAATATGGTGAGAAATGCTATGGGGAAAATGCTGGAAAGGAATAGGCGTTCCAAGCAAAAGGGCCTCAAGGGTGACATTTGAGAAAGACATGGGGAATGAGGGAAAGAACAGACAAGTATTTGGGGAAATAACACTGCAAGAAGAGAAAATAAAAGTAAATAGCTCCATCTGATGGAAGAAAACCAGAGGAAGCAAGTCAGGAGAAAAAGCAATCGGAAGTACAATTCAGAGAGTTAACAGAGAATCTGATCAAAAAGGGCATTTGGGGTCACTGTCTTCACTTTGGACAGGAAACCACTAGACAGCAGAACTGCATTGTTCTGAATTGCATTTAAATGATTCCCTGTGCTAAGAACAGATTCTAGGTGGAGAAGAGTAGAGGGTGGAGAAGAAAGACTAGGTGGGAGGCTTCTACATAGTCCAAACAAGAGTTGAGGGTGGCTGGCTACAGCAGTAATGATGATGTTATGAAATGAATAGATTCTGAGCTGGATGCTGGTGTCTCACACCTGTAATCCTAGTTTCTCAGGAAGCTAAGCCCTGGAAGACCTTGGATTAAAGCTAGTCCCTGAGACTTAAATATCCAATTAACCAGATAAAGGCTGAACTGGAGACAGATCAAGTGGTAGAGAGCTTGCCAATGAGCAAGCAGGCTGAGCAAGAACACAAGGCCCTGAGTTTAATCCCAGTACTAGCACTAAATAAATACAACAAATGAAGTGCATAGATTCTGGCTACCATTTTGAAAGTAAAACTGATGGAATTACATGTTATAGGTAAGGTTCAAGAGAAAGAGTAAAATCAAAGATGGGTTAACTGAATAATGAGCTCCGACTGGGTTTTGAAGAGTTGCAGTTGAGTGTTTGCTCTGCCCCTCAACTACACTGGTCAAATTCACTAGAGGACTCATTGTATTCTCTAACTTTATCACTACATTCTCTATGTTCAGAGAAATCACCTCTGTCCTACTCCCCAATGTACAGTAGGAGACTATCATTGTTTTCTTTTCCTCATAGTCCCCATATCTAATCAGTTTCAAATTCTACTAAATTCTCCTTCAAATTGTCAAACTCTTTCCGTTTCCCATGCAGTGTTCTTAGTTCAGGCCCTCATCACGTCCTGCCTAGAGGCCTAGGGCAAGGGAAGGAATAAAAAGGGAGAAAACCTGCTGCACATCCATAGGCTATGTGACTCACAGTCACTATTTCATCAAAATCTTCCAAACTGACTTCTAAATATTCTTGTTTTTCCAATATCAATTTCTAAACACAGATTAGATCACGCCATTCTCTGGCTCAATAATTCTCAGCTTTATTCATGGAGATCCCTCTACCTGGAGATATTCTTACATGATGTCTCACACTATTCCTTCATTAATATATGTATATTTATCCAGTAGAACTTACCTCAAGAAAATCCTTGGGTGCATAAACAGGTCGAAAAAGGCTTAAATCTAGAATAAGGATAGAGTTAGAAAAAAATTCAGTTAATGTATGAAATGAAGTAATCCATAAAAAACTTTACATTTCTGTTGAGGTAGATTATTTCAACCATTGTCTGAGTACTTTTTGTCATACATTGCATTAAGTATTGGACACATAAAAGTGAAGACAAGAGACAATCCCTCACCTTGACAGCCTAGAAAATAATTAAGAATTTCCTCTTCATAAATTATAATATATTATTTGTAATAGAGTTGACAAAACAATGTCAATATAATGTAAGGGTTCTCTGTAAGATTTCAAAATACTTAAGAGTATAAACAATGTATTAGTGAATTTCTATAGTTGTATTAAACTTTTCATTTTTTAATCCTAATTGCACACTGCTTCATCTATTAAGACACTTCTTACCCATGTTTCTTGCAGTGGTACAAGAGGGGAGAAGGGATACCTGCATTTATACAATTTAATACAATTATAGGCATCTATTATTTTTGTAAATAAAGTATGCTTGTTTCTCAATATATTTTTATAAAATTGATTGTATTTTACCAGCACAACCATGTTCACTGCAGCATTATTTACCATAGCTAAGATCTGGAATCTATCCAGATGCCCCTCAGTGGATTAGATCAAGAAAATGTGTATATATGCACAATGGAATTCTATGCTTCCACCATCAAGAATGGCATTGCCCCATTTGTAAGGAGATGGAAAGACTTATAAAAAATTATATTAAGTGAAGTAAGCTAGATCTCATTTATTTCCTCATTGAAACCTCATGGTTTCCTTCATTTGTAATAACTACAATATGTTTAGGATATTCTTAGGAGAGGACCACAATAGTTCAATGGTTATGTGCATATGACCATATAAAAAGATGCTTATCAAAATGAACTCAAATGAGATTTTTTTTTATTGTACTGTTTGCAGTTATTTCTTTCTTCTTTCCCTTTGGTTTATTCCCTGCAGTCACTGTTTTTTATTTCTATACCTTTTGTCTTTTATATAAAGTTATCTGATTTGGGGAAGAGAAGGGGAAATCAAGAAACAGTGGGACAAAGGGTGAACCAATTCACAATGATACTCTCTAAATACTACATTGGAAATGAACTTTACATCTGGGGTGGGAGGGAAGTTGGGAGGGGGAAAAGTGGGAGAAAATGAGGGAGGGGTAATATTGTTCAAAAAGAAATGGACTCATTACTTGACTTATGTGACTATAGCCTCTGTACATCACCTTCTCAATAAAATTTAAATTAAAAAATTGACTGGATTTTAAATTTTAAACTAACAAAATAAATTCTTTAAACATTCTAAAGCCTATCATTAATATGTCAATGTCATTTACCTTACTTCCAAAATTTGCATTCCTTCCAATAAATTATTTATCATTATTTTGGATCCCTGTTTAAGAACACAATTTTTTTTCCCACTGCTATGTTTTGAATGAAGTTAATATACCTGGTTCATCGGTTCCCATTTCATTCCATTTATTAAGAAGTTCTTTCTGTTCTAAAGCTGGTCTCTTAAAAAAAAAAAAAAAGGTAATTTTTAATTGTTTTCATTATTGAAGCTTAGCAGTGCAGATTAAAAGTAAAAATTAGTAACTTACTTAAAAGTTTAAATAAACTACCATAAGAAAAAATAATTTCACTTGGCATGGCTAATGTTTTCAGAATTGCACTTAATTATTTAACTGTAACACTATATCTAATGTTAGATAGGATATGAGTCCAATCAAAATACCTGTACTAGCCAGTACATTTCAAAAGAAAAAATGGCTCCTTAGTTACATCCTACATCTTGTACTCATCCAGCAACCTCAGCAATGACGGCAACTACATGTTTAGGTTTCCATGTAGCTTTATTCCTTTCTTTACATCATCCTTGTGAACCTTCAGGGACTTGGGTATCTTTTTTTTTTTTTTTTGGTCCAGTCGTGGGGCCTGAACTCTGGGCCTGGGCGCTGTCCCTCAGCTCTTCAGCTCAAGGCTAGCACTCTACCACTTGAGCTACAGTGCCACTTCCGGGTTTTTTCATTTTGCTTATGTGGTACTGAGGAATCGAACCCAGGGCCTCAGGCATGCAAGGCAAGTGCTCTACCACTGAGCCAACTTCCCAGCCCCGGACTTGGGTATCTTAAAGAGTACATCCACTATGTCTTCAACAGCAAGAGCCACCCAAAGGTAGGAAGCAGAGGGAACCTTGTTCTTCCCTACTGTGCATGACAATCTGAATCTATACCATTCTTCCAGTGACTGTTCCTTCTTCTCATCCCTCCTCCATTTCAGATGATGCACACCTGTTGACTACAAGGTCCGAATGGACTTCCAGTTCTACAGAGATGATAATTCTTCTTCTTATTTCTCACATTAAAACCGAAAGATGGTATGCTACAAGATCATTATGTGACTGAACTCCATCTCCAGTTCAAGAAATAGGGTGACTGTGCTACATTAGCCAAAATTTAAGGAGGCCAAAGGTAATTAAAATCTCAAAAGTGGGTTCATAATCTTTACAAGCAATTGTCTACATAATCTATACTCTAGATTCTATATTTTTTTTTTTAGATTCTATATTTCTATTTGACAAAATGTTTAATACAGATATCATTAAGGCATACATAGCAAAAATCTATATAATGGGCATTTATAAATTTTTTAATTCAAAATAAGCTGACAAACTAGTTATATATATATAGTATATAACTTCATGACATTTTTCAGTAGTTAATGAACAGAAAACTAAGCATAAAATGTTAAAAGTACCTTTCGTGCCAATGGGATACTCAATTCTGTGCACATACTATTTAAACTCTTCAAAATTCTTTTTTCCCAACTTCCCTGAAACAAATGCAGAAATTGATTATTGCTTTTTATTAAAATAATAAAAAATATTGAATAAAAATACTGAAGTTATTATGAGTTACATAGGTTGCTGGGATTGGTTATTCTCATCCATTAATTCACTCAACAAATACTGATTGGCCCAATAGTGTGCGAGAGGCTACCCTTAGGGTTGAGAAGGAAGCAGCACTGCAGTGAATGGCCCACCTGGCCCCAGCATAACACAAGTGGGAATGGCGGAACCTTTGAGGTAGGGCCCAGTGAGAGGTTCCTAGGTCTTTGGGAGCATAAACATGAAGGAGAATATGGACCCCTTGCCTCTTCCTCTTTCTGTTTTGTGTCCTGGTCCTAAGGTAAGCAGTTTCACTGTCATATTCGCCCTGCCTTTGTCATATGGTATCCCTACCAGAGGCCTAAAAGCATTAGGTCTACCCAACACAGGCTGAAACCTAGAAAACTGTGAACAAAAAAAAAAAATGAGGACAGAAGAAAAAATGATAAACATTATGAGGAAGGAATAGCACATAATAAAAAGGTAAATTAAAGAAATTTGTAAATACTCAATACTTACCAATCCCCTTAATAATCTACTAAAACACTGTAACTTTCCAAACATGAAACTGCACTCCTAAATGGCAGCATCCATACTTGGAAAAAGGCTTTTCCTTCATATCACAATGCACACCTAAAACATTAATGATGTTTCATAATACTGTTTAATATTTAGTCCATAAAAATTTCCAGTTATCCTTTAAATGTGTTTTGTAGTTTTTAAATATCTAGTATCTATTCTAAATTCATGCATTATATTTGTTATTATGTTCCTTTCAAGTTAATTTAATTTTCATTTTGATAAAATTGACTTTTCTGAAGAGTCTAGGCCACTTATTTTTTTAGAATGTGTCACCATCAATTTCACATAATTGATTTCTGTCTCTATCTCCTTTATTCTTTATAGCTAGAAGCTGTATATTAATTTTAGGAGTCCTACATATTATCCAGACATGACATATTGCATTATATTATTCTTACTGATGCTAACCTATAAAGCCATAATGTATACAGGCCACTTATAGTCATTTCATTTGTTTCAAAACCAAAATAAAGTCCTAAATTTCAGATATAATAAGAAAAGACAAAAACTATAGATTGTATGTATGTATATATATTACTCATAAAAGAGTCAAAAAAAATGAAATAACTAATTTTCTTACATTGTTAGAAAAATTAAAGATGGAATATATGTAAACTGCTTTGAACAGTGACATACAATAGCAAAAATAATTAGTCTATAGCTTTAAACATAGCTACCATTATTCATAGCTTTCCAATATACATTTAAATAAATAAATATATCTCTTTATGTGGAATACTCTCTATATACTCTGCTCCACTTTCTACTCACTTCTCAGGTTACAGCTTCAATATCATTTCCCCTATGAAGTTTCCCTTATTCCATCTCCTACTCCAGACAGCATTGAGTACCTTTGCTTATAGTCTCTACTAACACCTATCCTTCATTGACCAAGGAACATAACACAATTTGTCTAGCACAAAAGAAATAATCAGTAATTGAACATATTTCTACTCTAAATAATGTGAAGGCATTTTTAAAAATTAACACAATGACCCCAAGCAATGAATGAACAAAAATTTCATCTATGCAAGCTCGTTATCCTACCAACTCAAGAGACTGAGATCCAAAGGATATAGTTTAAAACTCCATTGAATAGTCCCTAAACTAACTCCATTTACTTGTTTATTTTCAATACTCTCCTTTTGCTATGCTTTTTATAAGTTTTACAACTTATTAGGTGCCTTTATTTGTGTACCTTCTTAATAATCAAACTTTAATTATAAGAAGACAACCTACATTCCACTCTCATATCCTTATCCACACTGTATTCTGAGAAATCTTATTCACTCTTAGGCCTATATACTGTTTACATGAGGCTGCAATAACACTATTCTAATTCAGTATTAACCCTACTACTCAATTATGACTGGCATCCAAAACAGAATGAGGGCTTTTAGAATAACATCCTAAAATGTTATTCTAGCCTTGAGCTTTTCTGCTCAAGGCTAGTTCTCTACCACAGTCCACTTGTGGTTTTTTTGTTGCTTACTTGGCGATAAAAATCTCATTGAGGGCTGGGAAGGTGGCTCAGTGGTAGAGCGCTTGCCTTGCATGCCTGAGGCCCTGGGTTCGATTCCTCAGCACCACATAAGCAGGGGGAAAAAAAAGCCGGAAGTGGCAATGTGGCTCACAAGTGATAGAGCGCTAGTCTTGAGCTGAAGAGCTGAGGGACAGCACCCAGGCTAGAGTTCAGGCCCCATGACCGGACCCAAAATCTCACTGGCTTTCCTGTCTGGTCTGGGTTTGAACCTCAGTCCTCAGATCTCAGTCTCCTGAGTAGGTGGGATTATAGGTGTGAGCCACAGTGCCCATATGAGAAAACTTTTTAAATGAAGCGCTATGAAGACTTAGAAAGACCATGAAGAACTAAAGAAATGATGGATAAATCTTTTTTTCTTTGCTGTTCAACTGAAGAAGGAACTAAGATATAACCCAGAACAAAAGAAGAAAGGAAAAGGATGTTAACTTCATAAAAGCTAGGCCAATCTGCTACACAGTGAGACCCTGACTCTCTCCTGCCCCCTGCCAAAAGAAAAGTTATTTAAGTAAAAATAGCCTTTTACATTTAAAATGTTTAAATACGAAGACATTTACCTTTTACTCAAATCCATAGCCTCTCTAAATAAAATTACTATTGCTTCAAATCACTGTCTCTGTGAATTTGAATCTACAATATTGACTCAGAGATTTCAGAAGTATTATGAATAAGGTAGTTTCTAAGCCAAGAAAAGCAAAAGTTTTATGAAAGAATAACAATTGCACTAAAAATCTTTTAAACAAATATTGTAGCCTTGCTACTTTTTTCTTTCCTGTTTTCTTCCCTACTTCCTTTTTTTCTTCCTCCCTCCCTTTTTCTTTCTTCCTTTCCTTTCTTTGTTCTTCCTTTTTCTTTTTTCTCCCTCCTTCCTTATCTTCCTCCCTTCCTCCCTTTCTTTGTGTGGCCAGGACCTCATGCTTGTTTTTATCTTGTTTTTGAGGTGGGATTTCATACTAACTCGACCTCAAACCTTGTTCTTTTTACCTTCACTTCTTGAGAAGCTGGGATTACAGGTGTGTACCACTCCAGGCTCTTGCTACTCTTTATAGCAGAAATGTAAGCAACAAAAATGAATGTCATTATATCTATAAACCATATAATAAACATAGAGCTTATAAAAAATGAAACTGTATAATTAAAAACTCTGTTCTTTTTGCTTTGAGACAGGATCTCATAGGTGAATTTGGTGTGGCACTTACAACATTACCCAGATTCAGCTTTTTATTAATTTTGCTATGATTTTGGAAATAACACTTTTCTTCCATGTAAGTTAGATAAAGCAATATAAAAAATATGTCAGGATGGTGCATATAATCAGCACATGAAGCCAAGAGGATTTTGTATTCAAGCCCAGCCCGGGCTACACAATGAGACACTAACTCAAAAACAAACAAACAAACAAAAAAAAAAAACAAGGATCAGTATGGTGGCACATTGCTATTATACTCTCAGCTACTCAGGAGATAGAGATAAGCGGATCGGACATCAGAGTACATTGGTCTCTTCAAATTTGAAAGGTGCAGCAAAGTAGTTCCCAATGTATCTTATATGGATTGAACAGTTTACTGTAGAACCACTTCTCTGAGACTGTTTTAAATACTTCTCTGAGACTGCCAAAATAAAATGTGAGCAACAAAATGGAGTACTAGATTCAAACTCCAAGTATAACATAAATAACCAGGAGTCTGGGCTGGAGATAGTAGTAGTCTGTGTACCTAGCATGTATGACACTAGAATAAATTCCCCCCCTTGCAGGGAGAGAAGGGAGGAGGGGAAAGAGAGAATGCACAGAGAAAGAAAGATAATGGACTTGTAAGTCTATATTGATATAAATAAGTCACTGAACAAATAACTGGGGAAAAAGAGAACTCTTCCATATAGAAAATTCTCTCAAGGAAGGAGCATCATCTTTCTCTTCAAAACCACAATCCCAGTGTAGTCATGAGAAAAACATCAGAAAAATTCTAAACAAGAAGTATTTCTATAAAATACCTGACCAGTACTTCCCAAAACTGTTAAGCCCATCAAAAATAATAAGAGTCTAAGAAACTGTTATAGGTAAGAGGAGCCTAAAGAGACATGACAACCAAATGTCATGTGACCATTGATGGAATCATGGGACAGAAAAGAATATAGGTTAAAGCTAAGAAAATCACAATAAAGTACAAACAAGTTAATAATGTATGAATTAATATCAGCTCACTAATTGCAAGAACTATATCATAATAATTTACTTTTCAAAAGCCTTCTAAAACATCAACCTATTAAGAATAATAAAAATCTATTGATTCATCCACAGAAAAGCAGATGCTCAGATTTCTAAGCCATTTGTCCCCAGGCCCCTTTTATTATGGTGTACCTCTTGGTACGTCTCAACAAAAAAGCCCCATAATTTCTTCATTCATGAAAATTACATTCCTACCAACCTTGCCAAAAGCTACAAAGAGCTGAAGACATAATCAAGGACTAAGGGAATTTAAAATTAACTCATAAAACTGCCATAGAAAACAAAAGGAGTCAATTTTTTCCAGGGTACAGTTCTAAAGTATTTCCTGCCCAGGGCTCACTTAATTAAAAAAAAGAGAGAGGGAGAGAAAAACACAACTATGTTTGTACAACTTTTTTCATTTTTTTAATAAGGAGCAAAGAGAAAACCGTATCTCCAATCTTTCCCAGTCCTCATGCAAAGCTTCCTGGCCATCTCTTTTTTTTTTTCTTTTGTCGGTTGTGGAGCCTGAACTCTGGGCCTGGGTGCTATCTCTCAGCTCTTCAGCTCAAGGCTAGTGCTCTACCATTTGAACCACAGCACCACTTCCAGCTTTT